CAACAACAACAACAACAACAACACCAACAACAACAACAACAACAACAAACAACCAAACAAACAAACAAACAAACAAACAAACAAACAAACAACAACAACAACAACAACAACCAACAACAACCACAACCAACAACAACAACAACAACGAGAATCCGCATCGCGGAATTCCACTTCAGCCACGCACCCAGGGACAGTGAATGACCGTTCGGCCCCCTCACTCTGATAATCCGCATCGCGGAATTCCACTTCAGCCACGCACCCAGGGACAGTGAATGACCGTTCGGTTCAGCCCCCCTCACTCTGACTATACAGCTGGATTCGACGTTCATAGCATCCTAATCGGGATCGGCCCAACTCCAAAAAATCATCCTACGGCAGGATCCAGCTTTCATTGAATCCTACGAAGGCTCGATCTAGCTATGAAAAATCGTTCTACAGCTGAATCACATCTTAATTGCATCCTAGTCGGGCTCGATCCCACTCGAGGATGATCCCGCTATTGCTGGATACAGCTCCACTTGAATCCTACGAAGGCTTGATCCAGCTCTAAGCTGATCCTGCTAAGGCTCGATCGTCGTCGTCGTCGTCGTCGTCGTCGTCTTCGTCGTCGTCGTCGCTGCCCGACCGCGCCAGCGCTGGCGCTCGCCGTCGTCGCTTGCCACGGAGGGAGGACGGGGGGGGGGGGCCTCCAGGTTCGAACCCCCCCCTTGCAATTCAGGAGGGGGGGGGGGGCGGTTCGAGCCTTCTCTCCCCACTTTGAGGGCCCCCCCCCCCTCCCGATTCGAACCCCCCTCCCCCCTCGAAACTCCGGGTGTGGGGGGGAGGGCGGCTCGACCCCCCCCCCCCTTCCAAGCGTCCACAGAACGCGCGCCCTCCTGGGGAATGCTCCAAAAGTAGCCCCCAGACTATTTCCCTACCTAGGCTCTGCCTAGAAGGGTTCTTACTCTCTGAGCTTAAAGAGGCCGGGCAGTGGAACTCGCCCCGGGCGGTTCCCCCGGCATCCGCCCGGCGGTTCCCCCAGTTACGTCCCCTTAGCTTAGCGCTGCTTATCTCATCTTAGCTTAGCTTATTTCATCTTAGCTTAGCTTAGCTTCATCTTAGCTTAGCTTAGCTTCATCTTAGATCAGGTGTATCTTAGCTTAGCTTACCTTCATCTCAGCTTCGCTGAGCTTTAGCATAGCAGAGCACATCATAGCATAGCATAGCGTAGCGCAGCATAGCATAGCATAACATAGCCAAGCATAACATAGCATATCATAGCATCGCGCAGCATAGCATAGCATAGCATATCATAACATAGCGCAGCTTACCATCGCATAGCATAGCATAGCATAGCATAGCTTAGCATAGCACAGTGCAGCATGACATAACATAGCTTAGCATAACATAGCATAGCATAACACAGCGCAGCATAGCATAGCACATCATAGCATAGCATAGCGCAGCATAGCATGCCATATAATCGCATAGCATAGCATAGCAACTAATGCTGCTTTCCTAGGGGGCCCAACTTCTGGGTAGGGTCGCACTGGGGTAATGTTTGACTATTTTTGAATACTCCCCCTGTAGAGGGACAGGCCCGACTTAACACAGGCAGGCCTCTCGCCCTCGACGCGGCGAGGGCGGGGTCGGCAGGCCGACCCGACCCGGCGCTTGAGCGCCGCGAGGGCCCTCTCCGCTGACCCCGCGCGGCCCCGGGCGCTGTGGGACGGCGGGGCGCCGCGTGCTGCGCTGCACATCGCCCTCGGAAGCGGGCGCGGCCAAGAGGGGGGCGCCCAAGAGAGGGGGGTGTTCAAGAGGGGGGGTCCAAGAGGGGGGGTCCAAGAAGGGGGATCGCCCTCTGAATCGGGAGCGGCCAAGAGGGGGACGTCCAAGAGGGGGGGGTGCAAATCATGACCGGCGGCACGTGCGCGGCCCAGCGGGACGCAGTGGAACAAGAAGAGGCGCCGTGGAATCTGGGGAGATAGTATGGCCCACGCCATGAGATCCCCCGCCCCCTAGTCGTCACCCCCCTCTTTGCCGCCCCCGACTGAAGCGGGCGTGGGCTGGGCCTTCCCGGACCCCCGGGCCCCGTCTTTGGTCCAACATTCAGGGGCCAGCGTCGGCCCTTCTGGGCGCGATCATCGGACTCGGGTGGTTCCTCTCGAGCCCTGCTGGATGGAGTACTCGGCGTGGTGCAGCTGCTGTGGGGCAGAGTTCGCCCAAGGATGGCGCGAAGCTGGCTGACGAGGCCACCGAGAGGTGGCTCTGGCGGCAGGTTCTGCCCAGGCGCCCCTCTGGGACTCCAAAGTGCCACCAGCCTCCGCTCCTCGAACCCCTCGGGGCCACCCTGCTCCCTCCTGCTCCTTGAGAGACCCGGCTGGACCGCGCTGGACCCCCGAGAAGCCATGGCTCCTCGGGCACCTCCCGCGGGAGGTGTTCGGTCTCATGGCAGGCCCCGCAAGGCAGGCGGAGCCGTGGATCCAGACTGCCTGGCGCGCGGTGAGATCGGCACTCACTGGCACAGATTCTACGGCTGTCCTGTCGATGCTGAATTTAGACGCGGGTGCTCTGCTGCTCTGCTGACTGCAGGCTTGCTGGCCAAACGCTCGCCTTGGCCACCGGCACAGCCGAGAAGTACCCCGTCTGTTGGACGTCGCCAGGCTGCGATGGGCCCCTCCCCCCGCGCGTGTGTACACGCAGTGCCTGCTGCGCGGAGCTCTTCGCCCTCCCTAGGGCGTTGGAGTAGATTTGCGCCCAGCTAGTTTGTTACCTACAGGTGAGCGCTTTCTTCATTCGGCGTTTCGACACTGGGCGGGAGGGAGGGGGAGGGCGTGGATCTGGCTCTGGACCTAGACCTCTGCTTATCGCAACTGCTTGCAACCGTGCGTCCTCTGGGGGAAACTCCACCTGCTTGACAGAGGCGCCCCAAGCAGCCAAGCTCTACTCCATGGAGGGGGTGGGTAGGGGGGGTGGGTGTAATAATAGGGGAACAAAAAATGGCATAAACATAAAAGCTCGGAGGTCCGCGCGGATTTCTCGGAACGGCGCTGGACACCCCTCCCTGGCGCGCGGAGCGCGCCAGGAGCGGCGCCAGAGGCGCCGCCCGGGGGCCCCAGCGCCGATCCGAGAAATCCGCGCGGACCTCCGAGTTGTTATGTTTATGTCACATCCTGTTCCCCTATGCAAGGGCTTGCGCCGTTTGGCAGAGCAATGAGCAAGAGGACGATCACCAGACTGCAGGCCTCGCATGGATGTTTGGAGAGGCAGGGTGCCGGCGCTGGCACGTCTGCCGGCGACCCCACGGCCTGGATACGGGGGGAGATGTGGATGCGCGCTTCGGGCGTTGGGGCGGAGTCGGTGGAGGTCTCGCATGTTCGGAAAAGTGAATGGGGGTGGTATTGCCCATGGGTGGGGTTGGACCGTGTTTTCAAAGCACGTTTTCAAATTTTAGTATGGTATTGTTATCAGATCGCATGAGCGGCCTGCGAATGTAGAGGAGGAAGACCTTCCGCGTTGATGCGGCCTGCTTCTGCTGCCGCCGACGGTGTGATTTCTGAAGGGCCGCGGTGCGGCAGTAGTCTTGCCGACCTAGCTGCCAGGGCAGGAACTGAGCCTCGCCCCATGAGTGGAGGCCTCGTCAAGGCCCGCAAGGAGTCCGGGCAAGCTGTCGAGATGGTGGCCCAGTGTTGTGTGCTGGCGGCTGCCCGTATCTGTTCAGAGACCCTCAGGGATGCCCAGCCTCGGGCTTTCGACACGGACGTTGGCACCATCGAAACGGGGTTCGGGCACCCCTCGGCCTCGCTCTTTGTTTGGTCCTGCGGTGGTCAAGCCTGGTCGTCGCTTCAGGTGCGCGATTTGGACGCGCTCGGCGAGGTCTCGGGCTACTCCGCGCCAGCTCGAGTGCCGAGACGCTGAAGGGCGGCACGCGCTCCACCGAGAAGGGCCCCTGGTGTTCTGCTCTCTGCGCGGGGCCCACGCTGTCCAACACGCGCGCGGCCTCGCTGAGGAATGTCGCCCCTTGCATGCGCCGAGCTGGCGGCCTGGTCAAAGACTCCAGATGCCATCGCCTTCAGATGCTGTTGGAAGGCTGCCACCCCCGAGGCGGGCCTCTTTGGTGGGCTCACCCCTTTGGCTTCGCGTCAAGAGGCGTGGCGAGGCGGCAGTGTTGCCGCCGCTTCTACCTCTCTCTCGCACCTTCGTGGCGGGGAAGGGGTCGGGAGTGTGTGTGTGTGTGTGTGGTGTGTGTGTGTGTGTGGGTTGTGTGTTTTGTGTGTGTGTGTTGAGTGTGTGTGTGTGTGTTGTGTGTGTGTGTGTGTGTGTGTGTGTGTGTGTGTGTGTTGTGAGAGTGTTGGTGTGTGTGGTGTGTGTGTGTGCGTGCGTGTGTGTGTGTGTGTGTGTGTGTGTGTGTGTGTGAGTGTGTGATGTGTGTGTGAGTTTGGTGTGTGTGTGTGTGTGTGTGTGTGTGTTTTGTGTGTCCTGGTTGTGTGGCTTGTGTGTGTGTGTGTGTGTTGTGTGATTCTTGTAAAACCAGTGTAGGTGCCCTGTGTTTTGGTGCTTTGGTGCATCGGCAGCCTGGGGCGTCTACACCTCGCCAGGCCCGTGCGCTGGGCTCTCGGGCGAAGGTCCATCGCCTGCCGAGCCTGTGCAGGAGCCGAGCCGCGGGCAGCGCCCCCGCCGAACTCCCCAGGGTGCAGAGCGCCAGGGCCCCCTCGAGGCCGCGCCCCACCCTAGGCCCCTCAGCCTGGTGCCAAGGGGGGCCGAAAAGCGAGACCACGCGCCGTGCCCAGGCCCCGCCAACGGCGAAAGCGGGCCCAGGCACCCCGAGGGCCCCCTCAGGCCCTCCAGCCACGGCGGACACCGCGCCAAGGGGGGCATTGTCTCTACCGCTGGGGCCACTCTCAGAGGCGGAACCCGCACCCCGACGACGAGGCAGAGGCGCAACGGCCAGCCCAGCACTCATGAGGCCATCCGCGCAGCTGGCACTCTTGCTGCTCTGAGTGAAGATGCCCACCGCTGGGCTATCCAGAATCGAATCCGTGAGGCCTCATCGCCTCGATCTCGCGAATGTCCTCCGCGAGCCTCCGAGAGGACAGCGCTATGTCCTCGGCGTCCTCGGCGTCCTCGATGGTACGAGCTATCCCGCCAGGCAAAGCCCTGGCCAGCTCGTGCTCCAGCTCGCTCCACAGCTTCACCAGGGACTCAAGCCACTGCTCCTTGTCAAATGTCCACAGTGGCAGGTCCAGGAGCTCGCCTTCACCTTGTCTCGGGAAGGCCTGGCGGGCCGCGTGGTACGGGTCGGGCATAGGCTCTATGTCGAGTACGTGCGGGGCGCACGCGAGGCCCGTGCCCCAGTCGAAGAAGACGGACGGGCAGGAGGCAACGCCCAGCAGCAAGGCCACCCCGAGGACGAAAAGGAAGACGCTCCGCACGCGAGCCTGAACGGCGTCGCTGAAGATGCTCTCGCCCACCTTGCCCTCCAAGGTGCCGCCCTCAGGTCTGAGCGCAGATCCGCCCCCGCAGGGCGAGGAACATGAAGAGCCCCACGATCGTGAACTCCAGAATCAGGAGCGTGCCGATGCTGTACTCCTTGGCGGTCCCGCTGCCTCTTGACCTGGGTGCCGTCGGCCTGGCCGTCGTAGAGGCCCTCGTCCTCAACCACGCCAGCTGCCGCCCTCGGCACCTCCGTCTCCATCAGCTGCTCCTCGGGGCCGCCCCCGCCGTGGCCCCCAGGCTCGACGTCCCGCGGCGCCTCAGGAACAGGCTGCACCTCGGCACTGTTCACGACCTGGTCGGTGCCCTCGCACTCGCCCACGTCCAGCTCCGAGTCCTCGCCAACCGCCGCGCTGAGCTGTGGGGAGGGCGGGACCTCGCCCAGCAGCTGGCCCTCGGGGGTGTCGATGACCTGGTCGGTGCCCTCGCACTCGTCCACGTCGGGCTCCCCGATGTCCAGGCTGGTGGTGCCCTCCAGCTTGACGCCGTCGGCGTGGTCCTCCGTCGTTTCTTCCGCCGCCTCCGGGCCCGGCGGCGCCGGCACGCGGGGCCCGCAGCGCCCGCCGCGCTGGGCCCGCTGCGGCTGCGCCAGGGCCTGCCGCAAGGCCTCGACGCCCTTGCCGAGGTCGACTTGCGCCCCGACGTTGCGCCTGGCGCGAGCGGCGCCGCCTGGCTGGGCGCCCCGCAGCTGCTGGCGCATGGCGGGCTCCATGGCCTGCCAGCGCATCGCGAGCTCGGCGTCCTCCTCGGAGCCGATCCCCTCCAGCAGCGCCCATGTCGTGCGGAGCGCGGCAGCGACCGCGGCGGCTATCGCCTGCCGCGAGGCGCCGCCCGCCGCAGCTCCCTGAGCAGCGCCTTGGACGGCCATCGCCATGACCAGCCCCGCGCCACCGTTGGACCGTAGATCCATTGCCTTGCCGTCGTCGGGCACCGCCGCCATCGCAGGGGCCGCGACAAGGAGGGGAAAGGGACAGAGCCGCTCTCTGTGCCCGCCGAGGCGACGGGACTCTACAGGGAGAGACCACGCCGCGCACCTCCTGCACAAGGCAGGCTTGAGCCAAAATGGCTACGGGTGTGTGTGTGTGTGTGTGAGAGAGTGGGTGGGGGGAGCGGGGCAATAGTCGTCACAGCATCCTGTGTCCCAGGCTGCATCGGCCTTCTGGGAAAAAGCTGCGGGCTTTCTGACGCCAGCGATTCGGACGACTCGAGCATCGCCCGCGAGATGCGGTGGTGTGAGGACTAATCTCCGTCGCTGGCCAAGGTTGCGGATGGTCCATGGCCAAGTCAAAACGCATCCTTTCCTTTATCCTCTCCATCCTCTTGCTCTTACTATGGAATGATTGTTCGTATCAACTGTGCTGACGCGACGACATGATTCTTTTTTAGCACCAGTAGTAGTACTATTCGTATTGCT